TACTCTTGAATTATGTTATCTATGTATGTTGGACTTGGACCTCCATTCGAGCTCTATTTCCAGACAGAGAATATGCCAATGTTCTTCAGGACATCTTGCCTCCATGAGATAAACTAGTTGCTTTCTTCCGGAGTCGCTTTGAAAGCACCAAGTAGATGGTTCATGATCGCCATAGATTGCTTATTTGCAAGCATTTCATGGCTTCCGAAAAATTACAAGAATAAATCTACATTAATGTAATAAGTCGGGTTCTTGTTTGATAATATATGCATGTCATCTTTGTTCTCATGTCGTTGAAATAAAGAGTTACTCAATTATCAACTTATGTCGAAATTTCTTATTTGTTAATAAATAAATAAAGTTCAAAGTGAGTCAAGATAGAAAATAAGTGAAACACTGTAACATCAGTTGATAACCAAAAGTTAGTGTGTCGTCTAGTATTACTCACTCTAAATTAATGCATGTTAAATTTGATCAGTACACATAAAAAAAAAAATCTGAAATTTCTAATAAACACATCACATGAAGAGAAATTTACGATTTAAATCACACCAACAATTTATGATAAAACTAACAAGGCTTAGCAGAATAGCAGACAAGTTATAGGGGACTTCATGTGCTTACTTCTTATCGTTTTTCATAATTGAAAATAAATAAGTACACAAATATTAATTAACTTAATCTTTTAAAATTAATAAACCAAAGAGTGTCGGGTTTCGATGAGCAAAATGTGACGCAGAATCTTTTCATCACCAAACTCATTATAGAATTTCTACCTCTATAAAACCCACAAGCAAAGACTAAAACTTGAACCTAAAACACCATGGCAGAGGCAGAGGAAGTGAAGCACTTTGGGGTTAAGGGAAGCCCATTAAGTCTCAGAGTGGATATAGCTCTGAGACTGAAAGGTGTGAAATCCAAATTCTGCGAAGAGGACCTGCAGAACAAGAGCCCTTTGCTCATCAAATACAATCCAGTTCACAAGAAGGTCCCTGTGCTTGTACACAATGAGAAACCAATAGCAGAGTCCCTTGTTATTCTTGAATACATTGATGAGACTTGGAAGCATCAGGGCCCTCCAATATTGCCTCAAGACCCTTACCAAAGAGCCAATGCACGCTTCTGGGCTAGCTTCATTGATGAGAAGGTATAAATATATTGTTTCACTTCAATCATTTATGCCATCTATCTAACATCGAGAATATATATAGCTGTTAGATCGACTGGTTCACCTTTCTCTGTTAGGGTATAGATCAATATCATGTTGATGAACCCTTAAGCATATTTAAAAGTTGATACATAAATGAACTCTTGCATTAACGTGTGGTCTAAATTAACAATATGAGATAACATAAGTGTGACAAGAAAAGATAGAGCCCCTGTTTTCTTACCTGTGTGTCAGCTTATTTATGCCTGATTCTCAATGTGTTTTGTTTGACTTTACTCTTTTTAGTGCTCACCTGCAATATGCAAAGCTTACTGGGAAATTGAGGGCCATGAGAAGGCTATGGAAGAAGCCTGTGAGCTTCTGCAATTTCTTGAAAATGAGCTCAAGGATAACAAGTTCTTTGGGGGAGAGACAATTGGATTTGTAGATATGGCTGCTAGCTTCATAGGCTACTGGCTTAGACCAATTCAAGAAGCTGTGGGGGTAGAGGTGTTGACCAAAGAGAAGTGTCCCAAGCTATATGATTGGTGTGATGAGTTTGTGAGCCACAGTGTTGTTAAGGAAGTTCTGCCTCCTAATAAAGAAACACTAATTGCCTTCTTCCTTGGTCGCTGTGAAAGCACCAAACTACTTGCAAAGTAAATGGCTCATGAATCAATATAAGATTACATATTTATTAGTGCCCTCTTTGTTATGAAATTTCAGTTAAACAAAAGTCTGGGAAGAGTATTTATCCATACACTCGAAGTTCTAGATTTAATTTCTCATTTCTTAATATCGCTTGTATAATATATATCAGCAAAACTGCTCTCTGTTTTATTATGACCTAGTTGCACTTGTTATCTTATTAAAATCGACCAGGCATAAGAAAATACTTGTGGGGATGGACGGTGGACCTAGTTGCTTTTATTTGGATATTTTGGAGCTCAATAAAGAGAAAGTATTTCTTTTTCATATTACCGCTGACCAGGACATCTTGCAAACAAATTCATAAATGCGTGTAGAAACAAATTCATAAATGCGTGTATTGACAAATTATGAGACAAAGATGTAATAGGATGTGTTTTGTGACGAGGGGGCGGTTTTGTTTGATTTGAGCTTCAAACTTCAACTTGAATTAATGTAATATTATAGTTCGGGTTGGTTTGATTTCTACATCAAAAACTAAAAGTATGTACTAAAATACACAAATTCAATCATTTCAATCATAGCCACCCCTTCTTATGACCACTTTGGATGGCTATGATTGAAGAACAAATACACAAAACCAGATTTGATGGGAACAAATATATTATTCTTGAAAACAGTATACATGTAAAATAACATGCCCATCCATTCTGTAAAACATACTAATCAAGCATTAATACCCATGTTAACAATTGGTGATAGATTATTAAAAACCTAAATCCAAAGTTTCTAATTATATTAATGGAAATGCTGGAAATTTGGGTCCTTGACGATGGTCTGGGAATGGAGCTTATGCGAGCACATACTTAGCCACGCTCCCCACTATGATCCTGTTCTGTACAATCACAAAATGTGAAAAAATATTATCCCACATCGATTTTAAAAAAAAATTAAGGTAAAAAAACAGAATTACACACGTTTTGATGGCACCAAGGCCTCTGCTTCCCCTGACCAAAGAGTCCAGCTTCAGGTCTTCAATCGCCTCAATGAGCTTCTCCCTTGCATCTCCCCAGTACAGCTTTGTCACAGTGTTCAACTTTAATCACATCAATTAAATCCCAGATGGTCCATATTTCAAAATGATTCAAATATATTACAAGAAGGAAAAAAACCAGAGTAGCATGCAAACCTATTTCTGCTTGGCAGCAGTGTCAAGTGTGTCAAGAACTTCGATATCGGTTTGGACATCGTACTTCTTCATGATCTCCGGCTCTCTGAACTCTGTCAGTGGAATAAGAGCTGCAAAAAAACCCACATCAAATACATAAGATGAAGTATATTAACAAAAAATATTTAAAGTTCACACAAATTTCACCTTCACATAATAATACTTCTTTCAAGTTCAACGAATTCAACCGCTTCTCCTTGGAATTTCTACTTACGAGAACCAGATTCGGCCCAAAGTTTGTTAGGAGCATTTGTACGCTTGACGTGGATGATGTAAAGTGTGTCACCCTTGATCAAATTAGCTAAAAGCCCATCCCAGCGCCTTCTTGCTGCTCTTTGATGAGAAGTCCATGGCCACACCAATCTTCCTATCCTTTGCTTCCATTCTGATCTCTCTCTCTCTCTCTCTCTCTCTCTCTCTTTGAGTTTAGTTTGCTTAACTTGGTCTTCTGCTGCACCACTTTGGTTGTTGATATATATATTAACTAGGGTACTGCTATCTATTTGAACCACATTTACTTACCACATTATTTGTTGTTGATATATATTAATTAGAGTGTTGCTATTCGAACTACATTTACTGATCACCTCTCTAATAGAGATGGGTCCAACATAGGTTTAATGATTCTAACCTAATAGGAAAGTAATTCCTTCTAATAAGTAAGTTGATGGATACTTACAATAATAATCCAACTAGTTGCTAAACAGAGTTTAAATTGCTTGAACTAATCATCCCTTTAAAATGAGAAATCCAGTTGTCAAGTTTCCTAAATTATAGAATGCATTCATCATCCATACAAGCCTCTACTACCATATATACTACATTTTTATAATAGCAGCCTCGGAGGAAATAGGCTGCTGCTTTGTTCCTGTCATATCTCACGCCTTGCAGTTGCAGCTTCTTTTGCCAATTCTTTTTAGCTGCGGTACCCAGAGAAGGAAAATAAAATTAAAATGGGGTATGGAGTAGGGATGACAATGTGTCGAATCGGGGGTGGATATGCAATTCTCATCCCCATCCCCATTAAGCATTTTTACCCCATCTCCGCCTTCATACCCACAATATTTAAATTGAGGATTCCCCATTCCCACCTTTATTGAGGAACGGGTTTTCCAACCCGCCTCATTACGAAAATAAAATAAAATACATACTACTTTGTTGAATGAGAAAAAAACAGTACGAGCACAATATATGTATCAATTCAAATTTTTTTAACTAAAAATCTAGTGCATATAACAAAATTAATACATGTTCAAGACACGATTATTATTGTAGAGGGAGCACCTCACACATCTTAATGGTATATTTATATGAAAAATAAATTATATATATTCTAAATAGAGAGGGGGTTCAGGTTGGGGATTAGAATACCATCTCCGCCCCTCCTCAAAGACTATACCTGAAAAATTCCACGAACAAGTCCCCATACCCATTTCTCATCCTTCATATCTGACCCATTAGGGTCGAATCCCCATTAAGACCCTTATCCATGGGGAAATTGTGGGAGCTTCTATAATGAGGAGGTTGAGTGAGGAGTTTATTTGAGGAGCCCCATCTCACCATCAAAAGGGATGTGGACCCCCCAATGCACCCCCCCATGTGCTTTGTTTTTAGTTGTTAATGGTGAGATTTCACCTCCTCAAATAAGCTCCTCACTCATCCTCATTCTAGCCTCTCCAGGGAAATTGTCATCCCTAGTATGGAATAAATTGCATAGTGCCAACTTATGGGTCCATGGTAGTCATAGATTTACAAGCCCACAAGTCTGAGTGTGAGACACCATGATTTTGCAAAGCCCACCCGTCTCAAATTAACTACTGGTTAGTTATAATATCAGCAACACAAATTTGTCTTAAATTGTATATTAACTTCAATTACCGAGCTGATGGAAATATTATTAGTTGCTTTAATTTTGATATTTCGACCTCATTATAGTATTTTATAACAGCCGAGCATGACCTGTTTCTTATCAAGAAATTCAATAATTTCACGAATGCGCGTAAAGGCAATGAGACAAACCAAATTAATACACAAACCCAGAACCAATGGAGCCCAACCATCTTCAAAACAGAGTACATTTCCATCTGTTCGGCATCATAACTTGAAATATTCTAGTAAAACCAAGATCAAATAAAACATAAAAGGTGATGAAACATTATTGAAAAACCAAATCCAAAGTTTCCAACTGTCCGTGATTCAATGGTGTTGCAAGCTTGGGTCCTTGACAATGGTCACAGGGATTGGAGCATTTGTCAGCACATAGTTGCTCACACTCCCCAGCAGGATCCTGTTTCATTTGCACAATCAAACATCAAATAAGAAAACCATGTTGTAAAAGGAAAAAATTTAATTGAATGAAAAAAGAAAATTACAATACCTTTTGATGGTACCAAGGCCCCTGCTTCCCATGACCAAAGAGTCCAGCTTCAGATCTTCAATCGCTTGAAGAAGCTTCTCCCTTGCATCTCCCCAGTACAGTTTCGTCACAATGTTCGCCTTTACATCATCCCATCAAAACCCAACAAGAAACAACCATTAATTACAAAACCAGAGGGGCATGATGAAGCACAGATCAAATTCAAACATTTATACAAGAAAAAACAGAGAAGCAAGAAAGCAAACCTCTTTCTGCCTGGAAGCAGTGTCAAGTGTATCAAGAACTTCAATATCAGTTTCGACATCGTACTTCTTCATGATGTCGGGCTCTCTGAACTCTGTCAATGGAATCAGAGCTGCAAAAAGAAAAGAAAAGAAAACCCAGATCAAACTTGATTTCAAGCTTTAATCTTCAGCTATAGGCTCTCTGAACTCTGTCAATGGAATCAGAGCTGCAAAAAGAAAAGAAAAGAAAACCCAGATCAAACTTGATTTCAAGCTTTTATCTTCAGCTATAAAAAAAAACCCAGATCAAGTAGATATTTGATTTGATTTAAAGCTTTAAACTTTAGCTATATATACATAAAAAGGATGAGACTTTATGAACTTACGAGAACCAGATTGGGCCCAGAGTTGGGTACGAGACTCATCGAGGGAGTTGGGGTTGATGTGGATGATGTAAAGGGTGTCACCTTTGTCAAGCAAATTGTCCACAGCCCATTCCAGCGCGTTCTTGCTGCTCTTTGAGAAGTCCATGGCAACGCCAATCTTCCTATCCTTTCCCATTTTCTGATCCCTCTCTCTCTCTCTCTTCTGCACCAGTTGGGTTTGATCGGACAAGAAGACACAGTTGTGGCGTTTTAACGTTAAAAAGACAGAAAAGCCGAGAAAGAGGATGGTTTGAAAAGCTTATGGATTAAGCAGCAGAATATAAAGAAGATGACGAATTATAGTTGCGGGGTCTGCGTTTTAACTTTGCTTTCATCCTGACCATCCATGTTGGAGCAGGTCATTGGTGGGACCGCTTTTCTATATTAAATTGATTATGGGCCAGTGGATCTTCACGTGCTAGAAGCACCAAGACATGTCAGATGATATGATACGCTTCTCAATTCTGGAATTTGGAGTTGTGAGGGAATGCGTGCGGTTCATTCAGTGTGTGGATAGATATACTTCAATTAGTCGGTTGCTTAGCTTATTAAAACCTTAAAACTATTGAAACTAAATGTTCCTTCCTTCTCACAAGTCACAGGTAAGTTTTATCTTTTATGGTCTGCCTCATTCTCCAAGATATGCACAAAAGATGAAATGTTCACCAAAAAATGAAATCAGAAATGCGGTTGTATTAACTCTTGTTGTGAAGTTGCTTAATCGAGTGTACTACTGCACTACTTGAATTTGAATGTATCAACGGTTGGATTTTAATTTTATTTTTTTCGGTTACAGGTTGGATTTTAATTTTTAATCCAAAAGATAGAATATATAAATGGAAGTTTGACAAAAAAAATATATATAAATGGAAGATGAGGGTGGATACATAAAATATTGATTTGTGCTCAGAATTTGGATAAAACGAAGCTGCTTTGCACTTTCCTTTGTCCCTGTCACATGACTCAGTATCCTTTGTTGCTGCAGCACCAATTGAATTGCATACCAAAAGAAGAACAAAGGGGAAAACCAATAAATTTCAGGCCTTGTGATGTGGAGTGTTCAGGCCTAATCAGAACAGGCCCAGAACTGTGAGTTTTTTGAACCTTTCAAAGTTGTCATCTTTTGCGAAGTCCACTTAGGCAGAAGGCTCAGGGCCAAAACAAGGAAAAACGGTGCAATTGCAAGCTAAAAAATTGGGCATTGCCCATGTCAGAATAAATATAAAAGGATCATGTGTTTACAGGCCCAGAACTGTGAGTTTTTTGAACCTTTCAAAGTTGTCATCTTTTGCGAAGTCCACTTAGGCAGAAGCCCAGGGCCAAAACAAGGAAAAACGTTGCAATTGCAAGCTAAAAAATTGGGCATTGCCCATGTCAGAATAAATATAAAAGGATCATGTGCTTCCCTACTTACCTATTAAGGAGATACTCCTCATATGCAAAAATAGTTCATCAAAAATTTAAAAAGAAAACCCTATGCACGTATATCGCACTGCTATTAATAGGAATATAGAAGCTCATACTTACCGGATAAAGAGGAAAGTATTTTCCAAAATAAAAGTAAAGTTTCAGACACAAATCTAAATGACCCCCCAACTCATCCAATACAAATACCAATTTGCAAAAGACAAAACTATAGCAGCAATGTTTAGCTTTACATTGGTTGTTATTAAATAATTTATAATGATTGTACTTTGGTTTGCCAACAAACTCCGGGCAAGTAAGTAGCCCACCATTGATATTTTGCCCTGCTGATTTCATTAACAGATTAATTAATTAAATAACATTTAGGTTTAGGTTAAGATTGAGATTAGTGTGGGCTGGTTTCCACTCAAAGGAGCAACAGAGTGACAGTGGAATTGCAGATCTTGTGGGCTGGTCAAACTGTAAATGCAGAGAAAACAGACAGATGGTCAAACTTTTTTCCAAAAGAATCCATAAACTCTTTCCATGGACAGTGCAAACACTCACACCATCAAAAAGGCAAACGACAAGCTTAAGACACAAAACCCATACCTCACCGCTAATCAAGGTGACATGTTCCTCGATATTCTCTCTCTCTCTCTCTCTTTCTCTCTCTCTCAGCCTCCATATTTACCAAGACTATTTGCACCTTAACTAAACACTTTTAATTTTATATTACATTCTTAATCACTTTGTTCAGCTGGAACTTCCACACGTGTCACACCGCTATACCATTCCAAACCCATGTTACTTCTTCTCAGCATGATAAACAAAAACCCTACTTTAGTTTCATTCCAACTGCTAGCTGAACAGCTCAGAAAATGGGTTTGCAAAGTGTGATGAGATCAGGATCAAAGAAAAGCGGAAAGGAGATTAAAGGTGTTTTGTTTGGTTTAATTGGTGGCATGCTTTACGTACGCTTATCCAAAACCTTTTTAGTTTTCTTAATTTGATGATGATCGTGTTTGTTTCTTTTCATGTTTTCTAGGTTTGACTCTCAAGTAGTAGACTGCATGCACAATCCTCTTTTTTTTTGCATCCGATTGCCTCTCTTGATGCGATCATGATCATTCTTTCTTAATTGCCTCTCCACCAAATGCAATCTTTCTTTATTATGAGATTAATGATTCAGGGCGATATGGTTACAACTAACTACCAATTTGTTGGTAGCTAATTAAGCTCATTCAAATTGTTCATCGAATTCTTTGTCAGAATACATGTCACTTAATTATTCAAAAAATCATACTTAATTATAGTTTAGTCCTCCTGACAACTCTAGCAAAATACATATATTTCATGTACATTCAAGGCATAATATGGATATGTTGTTTAAACCTGGAGAAAGAATGGTGACTATTTATAAGAAGTTGATGACTAAAATGTATAAACATAATCCCCTGTGTTTGAAGTTTTCTTGATTATGAAAGAGAGTTTTGTGGAGCTTATTTGTGATTCGTGAAGAGCTTAAATAGTAAATGAGGTTCTAATAGGCCTAGATTTTAGATGAATGAATTCATTGTAAGATTACTTTGTCATTTACTAGTGCGATAATTGACTAGGTGTCTGCCCTTTTCATAAACAAATTTGTCCCTTATAAAATTATTGTAATTCACTAATTTGATGATAAGATTACAAAAAGAAACCTTGGGAAACAAGGCAAGGAACATGGAGATATCCTTGTACATATGGAAGATGACCACTTGGAAAAGTAATAAAGACACCAATTGGGAAAAGAAGAAAAAAAATTAAAGTAAAAAGGAAAAAGGAAAAAGGAAAATACGTAAAGGCGAAAAAGCAAATAAGATGGTATAATGCTAACAAGCTTAAGCATCACTCAATTGTATATAATTGGAGTAACACATTCACACTACATATATATATATTATATATCCCTTCATCGTCAAGATTATAATATTTGTATAACATTCACACATGGCACACCACCTGGCATCCACTCACGGCCTTCAATCACAGTCTATAATTAACATTTACATTACATGTTTCCCACACTCATTGCCCTTCATGTTCCTAAATAGTAAGCTCTGAAAACTCAATTATAGCACTCCACAAGAAAACATCATATCCTCAAATTTCATTCACTCCGAAATTTTCTGTTATTGTTTAAGGTATCTTTCAAGGATTATTTCTGCATAAAAAAGAAAAAAGAAAAAAGAAAATCAAATCAGAAACCGTTTAGTCATTTTATCATACCCTTAGAAAACGACTTAAAATATAACCGTCCTAGAGAATTTTATTTATGAATATTTCAACATAAAGACATGTTTGCTTGCAAGTTGCAATGGAAGGATGGGCACTGCTAAAGTGCGCATCACCCGCATGAGTGTAGGCTAAATATTTTGTTTGTGTCCTCATTTGCAGCAGCATCTACACTAAATAAACCGAAAGTTTGGGGGGATTTTGGTCTCTTTATTTTTATTTCATGATCTTCTGAAAAGAAATACACCAAGCAAGTAGTGCTGCTCATATTTTAACGCAAGATAATGTTTTATAATTATTACACGTACGCCCTCAGCTTGACATTAAAGTCTCAACGCACGAGCCCTGCTCGCCTGCCAGACTTGTAAGACAAAAGGCTTGTTTCAGTCGTGGAAAAGTCTATTTGGTTCAAGCTAGGGCTACATCAGCCGTGCATGCGCAGCCCAGTTGAAAGCACATGTTTAGACAAAAAACATGCATTAGAATTCTGATTTGAGGCTAAATAGTCAAATTAAACAACGGGGACACATGTGCCAGGTAATATAACCTTAGATAAGCCAATAGGGTAAATAGGTTAGTTACATGGGTAATGTTTATGCACATGGTAGTTTGGCGATGGTGTAAATTAATCAACTTATTTATTATGAGGCATAACAAATATAGATGTATTTTGCATGTATAGGTTAGGTGAGTTGGCTAAAGTAGTGTGAGCAATGTACTTGAGCTCGATTTCCCTCGTTATCTGAAAAAATTGAAATTGTATAATGTAAGTAGTCAAAGAAATGAAAATGACGTAACCCTAGTCTAATTACTTTGTCCTTCTCTTTCGGCGGGAAAGTTCAAAACTCACGCAATAAATTGAAGCATAGTCTCTCTCTCTCTCTGGACCTTTGAAAGAAAAATCAACGGCTGGAAAAGTGGGATCATAAGACAACATGAAGAATATGTTATTTATACATAAATAAATAAATAATAATTAAAAATCCAGGGACGTCTTTATCCAGTAGCTCTTGTGTTGTCTAAGAGCATCTCAATTTTTTAAAAATCCAGGGACGTCTTTATCCAGTAGCTCTTGTGTTGTCTAAGAGCATCTCAATTTTTGCCCATATGATATGCATAAATTTTTTAAAGTGAGTAAATGATAGTGGGGTTTATGATTAAAATAATAATTAATATCAATTTTTTTTTTTTATATCTTTTCCAGTCATCGAATTTATATAGAATTTGACTATTCGGTTAAAGCAACTTTAATCTTCAATTTTGCAACTTTAATCGGTAATTTAACACATCAATTTGAGATGCTCTAAACACAAAATAGTCCCTTCAATTATTTTTTTTATATTAATTGAATTAGTTTAATTAATTTGTGAGTTCGATTATATTTGCTATTAAGTGGAGTTGATGCTTGATTTTGATGATGAGCTCCTGCGTCGGCCAACGCCGGCTGTTTGCCAAGTGGAGAAAGGAAAACGACGCGCCGGAATTATCTTCGCAGAAAACGACGGTCGTCGAAACAAACACAAGGGAAATCGGTTCGAGTTTGACATGTTAATATAATAGGAAACGGTTTCTGACCAAAATTAAAAATTTGATATCATAAGACGGTTAGTTGAGGTGGCGAATCATTAACGCCACGTCATCAAAATGCAGATTATTTTAGATTCTATTTTCTATTTTTTCCTCTTTTTTTTTACTGATGAATGACATAATTAACCTTTATTTTTTATTAATTATGAGGTTTTAGAAAATGAGAGAATAAATGGAAAATTTGAGTTTTTAGATGAAAATGACTATTGCATAATGAGTAAAAACTAATGACATGTTTATTTATTTGGAATTATTTCAACTCATGATTTATTGTTTGTAGAACGCGTGAGTGGAGTTATTCAAATTCATGATTTTCTATATGTGTACTAAAATATGATGAAGAAAAAAAATTATGGGTAACTCGTGATTGAAATATGTAATTCGATGCTTGAGAAATCACGAGTTATATTGATTATGAGATAGTAGCTTATCTCAAATTTCACCAATTTCAAATAAGTAAACATGAGTTTCAATCAAGTTGTAAAAAGAATAAAAAGAAATCCCAAATTATGAAGACTCTAAAGTCAACCGCTAAGATATGAATATCTTTGCAATTTTGTTTTAATAAAAGTAGTTATGTTGCTAATTAAAGCCAAAGATTCATCAAAGTAGTTAATGAAGATAAGAAACCTTAGATGGATAATTTATTGACACCAAGATAAGAATATAATTTATGCGTTTGGTTGAGCACCATTTGTGGGTTGACGGATTTATGCCTTCACTGTTAAATTGTTGATATATTGATTCCAAAAACCAAATTGTTGCTGCTTTGCCTTCTCCATCTCCATGGCCTGCGTTCCTTTTCAGGATATTCCTCTCTGTTTTTTTTTTAAATTTTTTAATTCATTTTGTTTTCAAATTCCACTTGAATACTCACAGCTCCTCTGCAGGTGTTATTTGCAGCCTACATAAAACAATAATTAGCATTTACTAAAAATTAGGGGATAAGCGTGGAGATTTGGAAAGGTACGTTTCCAACAAATGGGAACATTTGACTCAAACTAGAGAGAGAGAGAGAGAGAGGATATATGTCCACCGTCCCTCACAAATCGTTTGCTTTTGGTTTAAGATCTCCTTGAATTTTTAAAGGCGGTGATGCGATACACATGGGAATATCTGCAATTGGATTCAACTTTTGTATGGCTAGAAAATTAAATTAATTATTTCAACAATAAATGATAAATTTTGCATATGTAATACTTATTTCAATATTTATGCGATAAGCGGGGCACGTAAGAGCATCAATGACATGGGGGATGGGTGAAGGATCTATTTTATCTTGTTGGCAAAGAGAGAAAAAGATCTATTTTATGTTCGTATTATTGTATAATTATGTACTTTATTTCAATATCATACAATAATTACTCGTTTACAATGAACTCGCCAAATTAAACTTGAGTAATTATTGGTTGTATATATGAATGTAACTAGTAAGGAATTGTGGCACAAGATGATGGATTGGCCGGTGGATGCGACAAGCATCACAACTGACTTGGTGTGAGGTTAACTTAACTTCCCCTTGACCATAATTACAAAATGTAAAAGGATAATTCACATACGCCAAAACAAATGGTCATTTTCATCATTATCACTTCAATACACAGGAAGCATTGTTTTCGATTGGCTCATCTCCTCTGCGCCAAGATCGTTTCTGCTAGCTGCTGATCTTGCCGCAGGCTTTAGCTGGAAACGAATTGGTACAGAATCCTTTTTCAGCACCATCGTATTTTCACTTCACTCACCAAATGCCCAAAACCAATAGCAACAAAGTAAAAACAGACAAGAAAGCAACGTTTTTGCCTTTTTTACAGTAAAAAAGGAAGAGATAAAAGAAAAAGAAAGCAAGTTTTGTTGCATAAAAATGGATGGATAGCATGGAGGGAAGTGAGGTGGTCAAGTGCCAAGTGGAAACATACAAGGACAAATGGCTGTTTACCCTGCTATGCAAAACCATGCAATTCCTTATTCTTTGTGGAAAGAAAAAAAGGTTTGTTTTTATTATCTTATGGGTTGGCGTAAGAGAGAGAGAGAGAGAGAGAGAGAGAGAGAGAGAGAAAGAGGGCTCTGGCTTTCTGGCTTTCTGGCTTTCTGGCTCTGCTGCAACGCTATATTGTCTATACTCTATATGCCTCAACCGCTAAGCGAACGAGGGATGAGTGAGAGGGGAGGGAGGGAGGCTGGCATGGCATTGGCCCACTACTCTCTTTCACGTTTCACGTTTCACGTTTAGCAGCACAGTGGGTTAAATAAAAACCACCCACACTCACACCACGCACCCACACTCCCTAACAAAGGAAATTCAAGTGTACCTAAGGGACGGGAATTCAAACGCATCACTTTAGAATTGCTCCCAATCATGACCTACAAGCTCTTAATTTGCAAACTCTCGAAGATTGCATTTCTAAACTCCCGAAGAAAATAGATGAAAATGTATAATTTGCAAACTTTGAACTAAAAAAAAATGAATATTTAGAGTTTTATTATTTGGTGAGATAATTATCTGACTAGTTGAGTCGTATTAGATTAGATTGCGATACTATTCATTTCGATTAGGTCAAAAAGCTTCTATTGATGATTATATCAAATAAGCTTATTTAAGTGGTAAGCTCCATATCGTATTTCAATGATTAGATTCATTTAATTTTTAATTTTTCTTCAAAGATTATCTATTAAAAAACACTTGGATTCGAAAATCAACTACCACTCAATTAAGTTGTTGTCATTTTAGTGTTCAAAGATCATATATGAAAAAAAAACACTTGAATCTGAAAATCAACTAACCACTAAATTAAATTGGTGTCATTTTAGTGTTCTCTTGAATCATAAAGTTCATCTAATTTGATGGTCACAACTCGACGTGTTAATCGTTTTCAAATTTATATTCATATTTGAATAAAGAATTCAAAAATAGACAGCTCAGATCGTTGAAAAAGAGTTCATAGCGAACTTCATAAGGTGTCCTTCAATAAAAAGGGATTGCCGAATAGGTATTTTATTATAATTATATAACCGTGTACACTGAACGTAAAAATACATGCACCTATAATAATATATCAATGTACATAGAATTTGACTACTATATTTCGAGGATTATTATTGATACTCCGAAAGAGTTAGTACAAACTTCTATATATGCAATTTTTATTTATAATTTTTAAAATAAAGAGTGCATGATAATTTTTTTAGAGTGTCAATAACAACTTTTGTATATTCATATAAATGTTCCAAAGGAAAGACCATAATCACATCCAAATATAACTTTGGTGTTTAATTTTTTTAAAAAAGAAGAAGCTTATTTTAAAATTTTCTAAAAACAAAAACAAATTGTCAAATTGTCCTTAAAAGGAGGGGGACCCACACTGGTGACAACTCTGGCGGGACCCACCTTCCTTCTCTGGGAAGTTCCCGCGTGTTTGCCACGCCCTATCTTCCGCGTTAACTTACACCTCTGTGCGTTTCTTTTTACTATTTCTGCGTTTTGCTATTCCTATTCGGCGTATTGCTTTTCGGTCCTCTCCCCTCTCTCCCCTCTCTCTCTCTCTCTCTCTCTCTCTCTCTAATAAATTAAAATAATAATTAATTATCCAAGTCACTGTAAGAGGGAGGAGGGAGAGGGGGAGAGAGAGTGTTTGTTAAAAAGGCCTTTGGGGCTGCGTTTCAACTTTCAATAAAGCCTCACCTTCTCCTTCTCCATCAACCCCCTCCTTCCTCTGTGTTTTCTCAGTCCACACTAAGCACTGCTTCGCTTATTTCTTCTTCTTGGATATTTGCCTGGGACCCTGCGAGTCTCTGCATATCCAGCAAACCCAACTGGATTTTGGGTTTGCTATTATTAAATCTTCACCAAGCAGCAAACTCTCCACCCCACTTCCTTCCTCTACTTTTTACTCCCTTCTTTCTCTTTTGCTCTGCTATTTCAAAGGCTGCCCAAATGTCTGACATGTTAGACGACCCCGCGTTTTGGCTCCCAACCCAGATTCTCGACGACGACGACCTACCCGCCATGCACCTCGGTTCCAAAACCAACTGCAAGACCCACCACAAGAGCTTCGGGCTCGGCTTTGACGTTGATGCTTCGAAAGCTCTGGTATGGGGCTTTCGGAGTTTCGTCGGATCTCAGCTCGCCGGTCGAGTCTCTGGTGGGCTCCAGCGAGACGGAGAGCGACGAGGAAGACTACCTCGCCGAGTTGACTCGCCAAATGGCTCGCTCGACGCTCGAGAAAGAGTTGAAGCACTCTGACTCTGCTTTCGGCTCTGACAACTCAAAGGTATGAGGACGAAGTAATTTTTGGTTTTTTCCCCTCTTTTAGCTTCTCAACGAATTGTTTTGATGATGGTTCTGATTTGGGGTTCTGTTTCTGCAGAGCTGGGTCGTTTCCGGTTCGCCCCAATCGACGCTGTGCCCAGCTGGGAGTGGCTGTGGCTGTGGGCTAGGCTCGAGCCGTGGAAGTCCAAACGCCCACTCGCCGCCGGCCACTTGGGATCTGCTGCATGCGGCTGCAGGGGAAGTAGCGAAGATGCGCATCGACCAGAGCAGAGGCCTCTTGGGACCTCCAAGAAAGCCCTCCCCACCAGTTCCCGCCGCCCCTCTGAGCAGCAACCCCAACAACCCTGATGTTGGTTTTTACTTCCACCCGCAGTCGCTTTCCCACAAGCACTTGCAAGCCTCACAGGTAACAAAAACCTCAAACACTCCAAATCAAATTTCTCCGGGTACTTCCGTCGAACATTTCTCACTATCTAAATTTCGGCTCCATTTTGTTCACAGTTTCAGCGGTTGAGGCAGCAACAAATGTTGAAGGAACAGAGCTCTGGGGTTTGGGCAGCGCAGCCTCGATACCCACAGCAGCAGGCTCAGTCTCAGGCTCAGGCTCACCCAATGGTCCAGAGCAGAGTGAGAAGCAGCGCTCTCAACACTCGGCCTCTGGGTTTGTCGCCATCTGCATGGCCTCCTCTGCAACAAGCCCAGCAGCAACAACAGTACCAGAAAAATGGGTCTGGCATGAGAGCTGTTTTCCTTGGAACCCAAAACGCTGGTGCCAAAAGGGAGTGCGCTGGAACTGGCGTCTTCTTACCCCGCCAAATCGGCACCCAATCTGAAACGCGCAAGAAGACAGGTCTATCTTCACCCACTGATAAGTCCTTCGTTTTTCACTCGAAACAAATATTTTTTTTCAGTTTTCAAGCAAAACCCAACAAGCAAAATTCGTTTCTTCTTCATTGAAGTTGGTTGGTCACATCATTAATATTTTCTGGGTATGGGTTGCTGTGATGTTGAAGCTTATTTAATGGGTTGATCTGTTCTTGTTTTTTCAGATCTGGGTATTGTTCTAAGTTTTCGAAGGCATTTATATGGTCTCAGTTGTGAATTTATTTTGGTGGGCTCATTTATAATTTTCTGTCCTTTTGTTTTACAGGTTGCTCGACAGTTCTCGTCCCAGCTAGAGTTGTGCAGGCACTGAAGCTGAACATTGATGATATGTGCGCACCTCAACCGCCCCACCTTCAGCGTCGTTTCAATGCAAGCTACAACCCTGAATATGGTAAATCCTGGATACCCTTCTTCTTTTCACTGTTTCTAGCGATCTTTACTTTTACCAAGTTGATTTTTGTACCCATTTGTTTGATTTTGGTGACTGATTTTGCAGACGTTGCTCTGAGGCTTCGAAGTAACAACAGCGCCCTTTCTCAGCAGAGACGCAATGTTATTAGGCCACAGCAGCCACAATTGAGCAATGAGATTAGGCTCCCCCAGGAGTGGACTTATTAGCAGCATTTCAGTTCTGGGGTGGTTTGGTTTTTTCTTTGGGAAATTTTAGGGCAAGGGGTAAGAAATTGAAGGGTTTTAGGAAGAAAGGAGAGGGAGGATGCAAGTTTTATTAGTTTTTGATATAGGGTTTTTAATGGTTTTTACTACAGGTGGTAGGGTAAGTACAAAGGAAATAGTTTTTGAGAAAGACAGGACAGGAGAAAAATGGTTGGAACAAGAAGAAGAAATGTTTTTTTGGGTTTAGGGTTTTAGGTGAAAAATAAATGGTCTACTTTCATTAAAGTGATGGCACCAGCTGCATGCTAATATTACAGCAGAAGCAGAAGCAGCTTTTGTTCCAAGTGATTTTGTGCCCGAAGAACGAGGCAATGGTGGATGGTTGTCCCTCTTTTGTTTTAGTCTTTTGGGATAAGAAGAGTTTGGGATCTTTTAGAAAAAAAAAAATCAGTGAGAATTGAGAAAGTTCAAAATGTAAGAAGGATTCCAATCTGTCCTCCCATCTTGCCATGCAACAAGTTAGTATTATTAATAATAATAATAAATTAAAAAATGCATGTATTCGCCTATTTCTCCTCTTTATTTGTTCTTTAATGGATTTTATTGCCCAGCAGTTTAATGTTTTTGGGCAGCGCGCTTGGGGTTTGGTGTGTTCCGACTTGTGTATTTTTGAATTCTTCTTCTGGGATTAGATTAATATGTGTCAGTTCTTAAAGCTCTAGAAGAAGCTGTAACAAAACGACTTTTGCTTTTCCCAAAGTCCGGCAAGCTGGATTGTTTAATCATGTTAGCTTGCTCCTTAATTAGATTAATTAGCATAATTAAATCATAAACATTCCTAAGAAAACGAAGTTGGAAGAGAAAGGTGACGATTGCGACAGACGGGGGGTGTTTGCTTAAGAGGGAAGGCAGCTGCATCAGCACCACTGATATATGGGCCGTCGCGAGGTTCTCATTAGTGGGCCAATGCGTGGCCGCCCTTTTACACGTGGCAAACACCGATGTTCCGGATTTTGCTTTGCTTTTCAGTTTTTTATTTTGAGATCTTTCTGCCTCATCCCATATCTTACTTTAAATTTATGAATGGGCCCAGATTTGTTTCTGAATCTATCTCTCTCCGCCTGGGGATGTGGGAACTCGGGGGGTGTGGGGCCTGCATGACAAGGCCAGTAATGCGCTGTTTGCCGGCATGTGGTGGTGCAGGAGTGGTGGTCAACCACGTCCACAGGGGGATCACATGGCGCGCACTACCGGTGGTTTATGGTGTTTCACGCGCGAGAATGGGGGGTGGGGGGGGTGGCGGTAGATGGGGCCCACGTCGGGTGAGGTGTGGTTAGTGGGGGTGGTGGGTATTTGGGTACCGAGGGAGTTACTGGGGATGCGTGCGTTACATCCTCCACCTCGCTGAATGTGAATCAGTTTTGACTCGGTCATACATACTTTTTTATTTTTTATTTTTTATTTTGTAAATTTTTGTTTTTTCTTTAGGGTGATGATTTTGTACTACCGAAATCACTCTTAAGTATGTGAGAGGATAGAGGAGTGAGTTTCTCTTTCTATTTAGTTTGTTAAAGTTTCGGAAAATTGCTCGCATATATGTCTCTTGATTATTTCCTAATTTGAGTGATCAAAAGATCATCCATTTGGTCAAAAAAAGAAAACAAAAAGAAGAAGATATTTTTGATATACATAGGCCCCTCAAAATAAGGCATATCTATTTTTTCAGGGCAAAAATACAATCATGTAGATGGCTGAAGTTTCAAAGTGTGAAGGTGGCATGTACACAATGGATGGATGTGATGGGTGTGACATATATACAACGTACCCAAAGTGCCAAAACTCAAACATGTTTCGCTAATGGGACTTCAATGTTGACCTTTCGCAATAGCCGACTTGGTTGTGAAAAGCCTTTGACCCCTATGGACTTCCTGGGTATTATTCACTTGGTGGGCCAAATTGCAAACAGCCTGCAGCAGCCTCCTGCCATGATTTTTGTTTTTTGTTTTCAAGCGGAAAATAATTAAGTAAACATCAAAAGCTTCTTCTATTTGTCAGGAGGTGTGTGTTTTGTGCTTCTTTTTTTGGGTTTGGTGAGACCCTTATGAACTCAACCGTTGCTCAACAAAAACAAAACCAGCCGATTTTTTTGAAGATGTTAAACGCCAATGGAAACTAGACCGACTTAGTAATTTCTGACGAATAACGTACCTAGGGTGATGCTGCTGTTGTGGAAATATAAGTTGAAATAGTTAAAAAGGTTTCTATGGTAAGTGATTGACAGATTCCTACCCACACTAGTACTATTGACATCCCTCCCAAGTATGGAGTATGTATTTGCCTATCTGTGGAGAGAAACTCACATGATTCGAAAGAATAGCGTGACAACTATTCTTCAATCAATCATGAATTTACAATGGGGTGAGAGTGATGAACTGACCCTTGCAAGTCGAAAATTAGACCCCTAAAAGTTAAATGTTGTTGCCCACCACATATCAGATCCTTTGCCCCCGATGGAGCAACAAGCAACACCTTTCCAAAACAACCTTGTTTTGGCTTTAAGTCATTTAAGATTTTATATTTAAAAACCTGGGCAAAGTGACGTTGATTGAATCATTTTAAACCCAAATTACTAATTCAAGTTGTGTGAATGTGCTTCACATGAACACATAATAATAAAAATGATTAAATAAGAACTGATTATAGTCAGATAAATAGATCCTAAAATGAATACAAAATTATAAATGTTTAAATTAGGTTAAATATTCGGTGGATGATGTTTTTCGACAAATTAGTGGGTGCCCTAATTAGGTGAACAACACCTTACCAAAATAAATAAAATACAAGGTAGGTAACAACGATTTATTACCGGCAATATAATGGTGCCACGTGTCTGACAGATCACAGCTGACAAGCCGGCCTAGGCAGCTAGCTGCTCATATGGCGCCAAATAGCAGATCAAATCCCCTGGGCGAGTCACCACCGTATCATCTCTAGGATCAATCACCCCATCTCAGTAAATGGTAAATGCAGGTGCCAATTACCGCGCGGTAAAAATATAGTCGTCTGGTCTCCATTTTAGCTTGTTTGTTGAAAAGTGGAAAGCAAATACTGAACTGAGAATTTGAAGCTGGAGTTTTGAAAATCAATAGACTCTTGAGTCAATCGGTCTGGGCTCGTCCTCAACAATCCGAGTTTCAATTTTCAGGTAAACTGCGTGATTTTGAAGATAATTGACTATACGGAATCTCCAACTCCAACTGCTTCAGCTGAGCGGAAGTTTGTTTCTTCATGTAGCGTTAGGGTTTTTGTCACTGTGGAGCTTCACGGCGTTGATCGGCGATGGATGTAGGCGAAGGTGCCGTGCAGGAAATTGCGCCACAGAAGAAGGAGAAGGAACCTACAGAAGATGAGAAGAGGTAGGTAGTTTCAATTTGTTTTTATTTTTGAATTTTTTTTAGTGAGTTATTATTTCCTGAATTGCAAGATAATCAATTTGTGAAATGCTATTTGAATTTCATTGAATTGATTTTATTTTGTGATTATAGGAGGCAGAAAATAGCGCCTGGAACTTTGATGAAGGCAGTGGTGAGGCCTGGTGGAGGTGATGCAACACCTTCAGATAATTACCAGGTTGAGTTTACATTGCCTATTCATTTGATTATCTACTATTGCAATTGAACTGTGTCACGTTAATGAGTTTTGGTGGTTAATGTTATGGAAGCAAATGGTGAAAGCTAAATTGTGCTGTACATTTTGCAGGTCGTATATCATTATACTGTTAGAACATTGGATGGAGTTGTTGTTGAATCTTCCAGATCTGAATATGGAGGCAAGTCGAATTACGTGCTATTGAGCACATTTTGACATGTCTATATAGATTCATTTTGCTTGAGCTTTGAGTAAAATGATGTTAAAGTGCTCTGTTGTATTTATTGGATTGAATAAACACTTTTTAACAGGCAAGGGTATCCCAATAATACATGTTTTGGGCAAGAGCAAGATGATAGTGGGATTGCTAGAAGGAATTCCAACAATGTTGAAGGGTGAAATTGCAATGGTAATATCTTCCTCATTCGTGAGCTTGATGTCTGACTTTGAATGTGTGTATTTTGGCTCATTGTTATACATGCTGGTGTATCTGGCTCATTGTTTACTGATTCTAATATTTCTTTTTTCAGTTCAAAATGAAACCTCAAGTGCACTATGGTGAGGATGACTGCCCAGTTGTAGCTCCCAGTAGCTTTCCAAAGGATGATGAACTTCATTTTGAAATTGAGATGATAGATTTCTTTAAAGCCAAGGCAAGACTTTCAAAACCGAAATCCTCATTTTTAAATCATAATATCTTTGGCATGGTGGAAATTCCCCTAGTACAGTTGCTTGGATGGTGATCGTGCACTGGGCTTCTGATACTTCATCCTCCTCCTGACCTCACACGTGTTCTGATCTTATTTATTTACTTTTGGTTCTTTTTCAGGTCATTAGTGATGACTTGGGAGTTGTAAAGAAGGTACAGGAAATACTAATTGTTGCATTTCTGTTTGACTTAGTTAGGAGCATGTTTATAAACTCAGAAATTCTTTCAGGATAAGTATATATATATTTTTTTGGGTGATTAAGTTCAATCACCGTAATCTGCGCAGGTGATGGTTTAGTACAAATGGTAATTCTCGGTACTTTTCCCCTAAATTTGAAATAATAGATTCCCCATTTAAACGGCAGGTAGTAACTGAAGGTCAGGGTTGGGAATGTCCAAGGGAACCTTATGAAGTCAAAGCCTGGTAAAGACAGTTTTTCCCGTTCCCAATAAGATTCTGTTGCTGTATTGAACTGTAAATTGGAATATGCTGGAATATTCTAAGGGAGGTATATGGCTGTTTTCAGGATATGTGCAAAGACAGGTGACGGAAAAGTGATTGTTTCACGTACTCGAGGAGAGCCATTTTTCTTTAATTTTGGAAAGTCGGAGGTTGGTAACCCATTGCTAATCACTTACTTGGGTTGCTTAGTTCATTTGCTTTGTTTCATGTAATTTTGCCCTTAGCTGGAGTTATCTGATGTGCTCAAATTGCTATGTTGGTGGTGCTAATTTCATTCTTTGAAACACTATATAAAACATAGACACTAAAACAAATCAAGCCGTACAACCTTTAAGGTTGAGTGGATAAAAAGTCAATTTCAATATTACGCCTAAACAATACTACTATATTTGATTCACTATTAGTCTTTGAATATAAACTAGGTACCTAAAGGTCTTGAGATGGGAATTGGTACAATGACACGTGAAGAGAAGGCAGTAATATATGTCACCAGTCAGTACTTAACTACATCTCCTTTTCTGCCTGCGGTAGAAGGTCTTGAAGAGGTTCATTTTGAAGTGGAGCTTGTCCACTTTATTCAGGTGTGCAAAGTTCTTTTCTATCATAAGTCCAGTTGCTTCTTCACGTATCTTATCTATTTCTTGAGGTAATCTCATGCATAGCTATTTTGGCAAGGATATGCTTTGGCGGGGTATTTATGAGGCTCTGATCTAGCTTTATGGTTATG